CAATGAAATTCCCCAAGGTGATAGTAGAAATGGGGGTTTCCACCGTGTATGTAGGCTTCAAGGGATTGGCCGTTTCAGAGTAAGCAAAAATTTTGTAAATCTGGAGTTGAAGATCCATGACATGACAAAGTTATCAGTAGATTGCCATTCGGCATATTTAGGATCAGTGGATGATGGGGCTTTGATCGAACCATTGATATGGCATAACTTGGATAGTCCTCCATGGGCAATCTTAACTTGGATTGTCCTCCATCGGCATATTTAGGATAGGTGAGAGTTGTTAATGTCAATCCAGATCTGGTCTCTCTCTGTGCGCACCAGGGACAACTGGCTTGGCTCCTCTGCAGCTTCAGGCAGGCCCCAGCTTTAGCGGTAACTTATTGCTAGAGCCTGTTCCCTGACGAGTGGGTGCAATTACAACGATATTCAATGATCTTAGACCCCACAAGAATGTACGCGAGAATTCTCATAACTTGAAGGTAAACAAAAGTTTTGCCATGAGCGTCCGTTTGAAGCTTAGGTTTGATGAGTTTCTTAGCGACAGAAGAAGTAATTAGGAAAAGAAAAGCAACTGTTGACATTTCAACAATAGGGTCGGACAGATAACGTCGATTTTTTTTTTCCAGGCCAGAGAAGAGGACTAACTAAACATATGCTGCTCTATGAATGCATTGGTGCGAGTGCGGTCACAACGGTTGATCATGTGAAATCCACAGAATTAAGGATTGTGTTACAAATTAGAGATGTTACTTGCAAGATAATTTAACTATACTCAAAATTTAGGTGATATCTATACATGTGACTTGTCCCCGTCAATTATAGACTTCCTTTTTGCATTAGTCAATTAATGACGATTGACGAATGAGAAATTACCCTCGCCGTTCAAGATCTTATCATGCCTAATATTACATTCTTTTGTTTAATTACTGTCACGTGAAATGTACTATAGGGATGAGTATCAGTCTGGTTCATTTCGGGAATGGGCCTAGACTGACCAGTTCAAGGCTGGTTTTGGAGAGAACCGGCTCGGTTCCCGATTCTGTGAACTTAGAACCGGCCTAGAATAGGTATGGTTCCCGGTTCTAATGTCGAAACCGCCGATCTTGCTTGGGAACCGGTTTAAACCGGTTCAACCAATCCAATTAAATCAGTTCTAAACCGATTCTAAAGTCTCCTTTAAAAAAAAATGCTTTCACACCCATTGAGGATTGAATGATGGTCGTCAATATGATCAAACAAACAACAAAAACGCTTGACCAACAGTGTCAAGATCTTCTGCAGAAACTGAACACAGATACATGGCAAATGCATGTTGCCAAGTACGGTGGCTACCTTGCTTATTTAAGGAATTGGGGATTACAAATTTGTAGGGAAAAGTGTAAAAAAAATCCTAAATCTTTTGCATTGGTACAAATTGAGTCCTAAACTTTTTTGTGGTCCAATTAAGTCCTAAACTTTTTGTTTTTGTGCCAATTCAGTCCTTCCGACTAATTTTGACCGGATTTTACTGACGTGAAAGCCGGCCGGTCGCCGGAGTTGACGTAGACAACTTTTAATAATATTTTAATATTTTTTAAATTTTTTCTTATTTATTTTTATTTTTTTCTTATCTTTTTTTTTTCCTCCCCCACTTTCCCTCCTCCAGCTGGTCACCGATCCGGCGACCGGCCAGAGGCCAGCAAGCCTCGCCGACCACTGGCGAGGCTCGCCCTTGCCGGCCAATAGCGAGGCTCGCCCTCGCCATCGACGGCGAAGGCGAGCCTCGCTATGGTTGGGGGAGGGCGAGGGCGAGCCTCGCCATGGCTGGGCAAGGCTTTAATCCTCGCCCAGCCACCGGCGAGGCTTCAGCCCTTGCCAAAGGTCGTGGCCTTCGATCTCACGGCCTCTGGCGAGGGCTAGAGCCTCGTCGGCGGCTGGGTGAGGTACGACCTCGCCAGCAGTTGGGTGAGGCACGACCTCGCCAGCGACTGGGCGAGGCTCACCTTCGCCATCACTGGCGAGGGCGAGCCTCGCCAGTGGCCGATCGCCGGTCCGTCGACCGGCTGGAGGAGGAAGGGTGAAAGACGAAAAAAAAAGAAAAAGAAAAAATGTAAAAATATTATTAAAAGTTGTCAACGTCAGTGCTGGTGATCGGCTTCCATGTCAGTGCCGGCGACTGGCCGACTTCCACGTCAGTAAAATCCTGCCAAAATTAGATGAAAAGGCTCAATTGACACAAAGACAAAACGTTTATGAGTCAATTGGCACTAAAAAAAGATTTAGGACTTAATTGGCATAAATGTAAAAGGTTTAGGACTTTTTTGACACTTTTGCCCAAATTTGCATGCTATAAAATTGTTTGATGATATGTTGTAGCAATTCCAGTTTCCCATGAATGTACAAAATGCACAGAACTGGATTGTCGTTTTGTCAGAGAAAACATATAACAAGGAATGCCCACCTACTTGGGCATTTGATGAAAATGCATTCTTAATGCACTAAGGGCTAGGGGTGAGCGGTTTCAAGTTTCTTACAGGTTCCACCTGGAACTTACCATCGGGTACAGGTCCCTCATTTTTTGGAACCTGGAGCTTGCCCGTCGGAACCTAGAACGATTACAGGGTAGGTTCCAGGGTCTAACAGGTTTTTTTTTTTTAAATTTCATTTTTAGTAACAAATATAATTAAGATGAGAAATCATTGCGTGAATCGATACTTGGGGTGAGCGGTTCCTTGTTCCGTACAGATCCACTCGGAACTTACCCATGAGAATAGGTTTCTCATCTTTTGGAACTTGGAACCTACCCAATTAAAGGTTCCAAGGTCGACTCCAAGGTCTACCCAGGTTTCACCTGTATTATTAATTGAACAATTGCAGTGAATCATCACCTTTAATGACCACCACTTGCTACTAAAATCCACTGACCACAATTTATATTTAGACACACGAAGAATATGAAACATTAACAAGTCATAAAATGAAACCTCAGACTAGTGGTTCCAGATTATACACTCATTATCTAATGCCATGAAACACCCTAGGATCACACGAAGACATAGACCAAGAAAAAAAGTAAAAAACTTATTTAGGTTCCAGGTTCCACCTATCTAGAACCTGGAACCTACCTGTCGAAACAGGTTCTCCAATTTTTGGAACTTAGAACCTACCATACATACCTTGAAATCTGAAACATACAAGTTCCTACCGATTAGGTTTTCAGGTTCCAGGTTCTATCCTGGAACCATGCTCACCCCTACTAAGGGCGCGAATGACAACATTCCTCTTCTCCAACCTTATTTCTGGCTAGAAATTAAAAAATCTATTTCTTTTTCCTGTACGAGTTTCTGAATAAAAAGTAGCGTTTGATAATGATACAAAATTTCTATTCCCGGAATAGAAATTTGTTTGATAACGACGCAAAACTTCTATTCCCGCCGGCCATTGAGTGGCGGCGGCGGTAGATGGCCGGTGAGCGGTGGTGGTGACGAGCGATGGTGGACAGCGGGCGAGGGGTGGCGGTGGGCGACGAGCAGCAGCGGCGGGCGGTGACGGCGGATGGCCGGCGAGCGGTTGTGGCGGTAGGGGGCAGCAGGCGAGCGGCGACAGGGGGTGGCAAGTGAACGGTGGCGGGCGGCGATGGATGGCCGGCGAAAGGCGGCAATGAGGGAAGACGGCTGATGGGAGGCACTGTCTTCCGTCGGTGACAGCGAACGGACGGCGGGCAGGCGGGTGGCAGGTGGCTGCGGCGAACTACCGGCGACCAGCGGCGAGTGGGCGGCGACGGGTGGCAAGGGTGAGCAATAAAGGAAAGTTGTTATTTCTATTTTTGTTCCAAAAAGTGAAAGGTAAAAAATCTTAACTTCTCATTTCTGTTCCAAATCTATTTCTGAGCGAAAATTTATCCCAGAAATAAAAAAATTGAAATTATTCTACCGAACGAATTTCTGTTCTAAACCTGTTCCCGAGAAGAAAAAATAGAGAAACAAGGAAACAGAATAGTTATTATTCGTGCCCAACCTATGTCACATCTCGTCTTATCTTAGATGAAAATGCAGTTAGTTTCTGAAATATTCCCACTGTTATAAGCTTACACTTCTTATCATGTGAATAGAAAAAAAATGCGTACGATTTTCTGAGTGTTAACATATATCTAAGTTCGCGGAAAAAATAGCTATTTAGTTATATAAGATTAGAGATAATGTAAAAAAGATTAATTTCAAGCCAGAACTTGGCCATATCAAGATGATGTAAAGTTATTTAAACTGTCAAATTTAATCTATGAGAGCATATATACCTAAGATTACACACATAACTCTCTAATTTTCAACAATGTATTCCTTTTTGGGTTAGCGGTTGGGTGAGGCCAACTTTTGCGCACTTCGACTAATTTACCTTCTCGTGCGATTTATAAGGGCACACCTCTCATATCGCCTTAGTGTATTGAGAATTCTACTTATGGACTACTTCCAACAAGACTTGAACCCAAGATAAATTTCTGACTCTTGCGACAATATGTAGATAACGCTCTAACTAATTATGGATTAAAAGGGATATCGTAGGAGGGTGTGTCGTCATCTCGAACACTTTGCGTTTAACTTCTTTTTTTGTAAATATTTTCGAGCTTTTCTTTGTCGTTTTGGCCTTGATCTATAGCTTTTCTTTAATCCTTCCAACTATTCTAAAAATTTAAGCTGTTGGATGAAGGCGTGATTTATTATTTAAATATTCTAACAAATCGAAAAGTCAAATAATGCACATGATGATTAAAAAGCTTGACGTGCATAATTCATGGAATATATATATCTGAGTGGATTGAAGCCCGAACAGTTTATACTTTATTCTAGATTCTCAACAGTTGTTTCGAACATAGTTTTTTTTACTTTAAATAATGAGGTGTAGCTAATCACAATGTAAACCCTGTACGGTCAGTCCCCGCCTCTCCATTTCTATATATTAGGCTTTCCTCTCTTTTGATGCTCCACTACAGTACTCGCAAACTTAGAAGGCCAATACAAGCTGTTATGGCTGTTTTAGCGACGATCCACACCAATTTCCTCTCCTCCTCGATCAACCGTCGTAAATTACCCTATCGTTTGTCCTTCAGAAGCCCTCGCTATTCCATTCCTTCCACTTCCTTGCCTGCTCGACGACACGTAAGCTGTGGTTCGGGGACCGGAGATGGCGTTGCCAGGCGCTCTGCGAATTTCCCTCCGAACTTCTTCGACTACAACTTCGTGCAGTGTCTCTCCACTGACTACACAGTAAGTTTGGCTCAAACACAGTCGCTTGCGCTGTAGTTTTTTCGCTTTGCTTATGCTAAGAATGCCCAATGCCATTGCGTTTCACTTTGTTTTTACCGAGTTTACATGTTCGGACGCAGGAGGAGAAATACAAGGCCCAAGTGAAGATGTTGAAGGAAGATGTGAAGGGCATGTTCGGTGAAGCGATGGATCACGTGGCCAAGCTCGAGTTCATCAATGCCGTCCAAGGGCTTGGACTGCAGTACCATTTCGACGCAGAGATAAAGCAGGCGCTTGAGCTCGTTCATGGTGGTTCCGAGGATGCTTGGGCGCTTCTTGACGATCTCCATGCCGCGGCTCTCCAGTTTAGGCTCCTTAGACAGCATGGCTACGTCGTCTCGCAAGGTACGTTTTTAGAGAAAGAAGAAGGATACAATCGTAGAAACTTTGGACTCACACATTGAGGTTGAAGTAACAACGGGTTACTATATAAGCTAGGGTTTATGCCTACCGTGTTGGTTAAGAAGTGACTGTCTTGATAGCAAAATAACAGAAAGTTGATTGGGTTCGATCTTTGAATTTATGAAATGTGATAACAAAAGTCGAAGAGATTGACGAATAGAATTTGCTACGAGCGACAATTAATGAGTTAATTTACTACTTTAATATATATATAGACACACACCAACTTGAGCTGATTATAATGTTTCACTTGGGTGGACTTACGTGGTTTCGGAAGTATCGCTTGGCAAGTTTATTCAAAGCTCAAATGTGACTATGCCAAATGTTGAACAATAACGTTTTTCAAACTTCCGATAGTAGTAGGGGTGAGCATGATCCGGGTGGGCGGTTCCCACCCCGAAACCGTGGACCGCCCGCTAAGGACCGGTTCCAAAAAATTGGAACTGAGAACTGCTGGTCAGGTCCGGTTCCCGGGTGGGTCCATGGAACCAGTCCCACTAAGTTTTCTAGGACAAATCAAAAAATGGACTGGTCTAATTCTTGCCTGTTTGTGGGTTATGTTCATCACATGCTATTTTGCTTCACATCAAATACATCCGTAGCCTATATTATATATCACACATAGGAGTTTGCCACAAGTTCACAATAGTCAGCAAGCAAACAAAACAACAACTCTCCTTTTTTTTAAAAAAAAAATTTTTGTCAAATTTTTTAAATTAAAAATTAAAAAAATAAATATATTATTATTATATTATCGATCCGGTCTGGGTGGGCGGTTCCACACCGGAAACCGGACCGGTACCCACCGGTTCCAAAAAATTGAAACCAGGAACTGGACCGGTTCCCTTGGGAACCACTGGTTCCGGTCCGATTCCGAGTGGTCCCGGGCGGTTCGGGCGAGTCCCGATTCTTTTGCACACCCTTCGATAGCAGGACATCTACGTTCATGCCTTGAATTATAAAAAGAAAAAGAAACAAGGCCATTGTCTCATTTGATGCCATTTATTGCACCCTGCACTTGCTTATTTCGACTTGTTGACGACCTATCTGAATTTAAGTCAATGGGGCCGGCTGCCAGATGACCTGTGTAGGTTTAACCACGGTATTATACAGTTTGTGTACCGTATAAAAAGTTATCATTCCTTTTTAAATTTCGCTAGGAGGGCACGGCAAAAACTAATTAAGCAATCTATTCAATATACATTATAATTTTCAAAGTACTGATTGTTCTCGTGTTGCATGCACAATAAATATCTCGAAAATTTGATCATTCCAAATAAAATATAATTAACAAGTGCTCGGGGAACTTCCTTTTAAAGTCATTTCAACAGAAGTTTATTTTTTTCCTTTCTTTCTTTTTTCCGAGTCAGGCCCGGTACAGTACAACGGTTCGAAAATCACAGCCATTAATGGCTAGCGGGCCCCAGATCGAACCGTCAGGATTAGGTCTGGCGCATTTCATCAATATTTCCATTTACGTGTTCTGCTTCCTTGTCAGTGGATCAAAAGTGGGCCCCGGTTGTCGCCTCGACCGACAGCCAACCCTACGAGTTACGAATTTCTGAAATGCTTACACCCATTTTCCTCTTTCTTATTTTATTACAATTTCTTTGAAAAACCGAAGTTTTTCCATCTTTATGATGTGAATTCAAAACTTCTGTCCGACTAATGAGCTATAAGGTTATGCGTGTTTCTAAGTAGTGAATACTACAAACTTGTTGGAGTTCATCGTTTTCATAATTTGAATTTAATGGTCGCTATTTTTTATGTGATATAGATGTGTTCAAAAGATTCATGAACGAAACAGGCGGCTTCAAGGCATCGCTCCGCGAGGATACAAAGGGGCTTTTGAGTCTCTACGAAGCTTCTTTCCACGGATTCGAGGATGAGGCCATAATCGACAAAGCCAAAGCCTTCTCGTACAAGTATCTTAAGGAGATTAATGTTGAAGGCACTGCTGCTAATTTGTGCGAGAAAGTGTCGCGCGCTCTGGACATGCCCATCCACTGGAGGCCGAATCGACTGGAGGCCCGATGGTTCATTAAGATGTACGAAGAAGAGCCGGACGTGAATCCGACCTTGCTCCGCCTCGCGAAATTAGATTTCAACTATCTGCAATCGATTTATAAGAAAGAATTTAGCAAGATGGCGAGGTATGGGCAACTATCAATTCATGATGATATTATAATAACATTTCGACTCTAGCCCCTTTTTATCGGGAAAATTACAAAAAAGTCATAAACATCTTTTTTTGCCAATTGAGTCCTAAACAATATGCATTTGTGCTAATTTAGTTCATTAGGCTAATTGACTGGAAAACGCTGACATGGATGCTAACCATCCTGTGTGGCGCGACCAACACTAACGTGAACATTTTTAAATAATACTTAATAATTTTTCAAATTTTTATATTATATATTTTTCATTTCTTTTTCGTTTTTTATTCTTTCTCTTTCTTTTCTTTTTTAAGTTCCCTTTTTCCTCTAGCTGGTCACCGGACCTCTGTGACCGGTGGGTTCGACCTTGCTGGCCACTGGTGAGATCAAGTCTCGCTAGTAGTTGGCGAGGGTGAGTCTTGCCAAGGGCGGTTGAGGCTTGCCCTCGCCAGTGGCTGGCGGGTTGCCAGCCCTCACCTCTGATCAATCACTGAGGTCCGGCGACTGATTAAAAGAAGAAGGGAAGAAAAAAAAAGAAAGAAATGGAAAAAGAAAAGAAAAGAATAAAAAATTCGAAGTATGATTAAAAATTACCCGTGTCAACGACTTCCAATCAAAGTTGGCTTTTTGATAATTTTCCCTAGAATGTTGGTCTTGTGACATAAATAATCAACAGAGATGTCCAATATACACTAACGATATGATGTTTTACTAAGTTACTGGTATTTTGCCCTTTCCAGGTGGTGGGTTGAATTGGGCTTGTACGAGTTGAACGTGTTTAGGGACAGAATGACCGAGTGTTACATATGGAGTGTCATCATGGCATTTGAACCGGAGTTTGGACCATTCAGGGAGATGATGACCATCGTCAATTGTTTTATAACGCTCATGGATGACATCTACGATGTATTTGGCACCTTGGAAGAGCTCGAGCTCCTCACAGATATCATCGATAGGTTTGAGTGTTGTCTCTCCGACCTTGTTGTTGATTATTACGTATCACAAGAACCCCATGTCGACTAATTTTAAAGGGTCGATTCAAGTTTCGAAAGTTTCGTGACTATTGAGTCTACACAGGTGGGATATTAATGGAATCGACAAGCTTCATCCCACGATACAAAAGTGTTACCTGGCTATGTTTAACAGTACGAACAACATCGTGTACTGGACAATCAAAGAGCGAGGTTTCAATGTCCTCCCCGCCCTCCGGCAAATGGTAATCTCGCTTGCCGATGATCTCTTTATCGTTCAAATTTATGTCTCGTAGATAATAAATCTCCATGAATCCTTACTAATCCATGATATCTATATCATGTATCTTGTGATGTAGTGGGTAAATGAGTTCAAGGTATGCCTAAAGGAGGCCAAGTGGTACAACAAAGGGTACAAGCCAACGCTCGAGGAGTACCTGAGCACCTCAATAAGCTCAACCGGAGGGCCTCTCATGCTCTTCTGCAGCTTCTTCCTCACTACCCACAACTTGACGCAGGAAACGGTCGATTATGTCGCCAACATCCCAAGCCTCATGAAGTATTCTTCCTTGGCTCTTCGATGTAACAACGATTTGGGCACATCGCCGGTATGTCCCCGCCTTGAAATCTATCTTTAACTTTCCAACCATATGCTGCTCGTTCGCATAAACCGATTCCGATCGGGCGTTTCCTTCATTTATGAAAAGGAAACATGTTGCACAGTATAAAGTTGATGGGCGTGGTCCATGATGCGTAGGTTGAAATGGCGAGAGGAGATAATTCAAAGTCGATACATTGCTACATGTACGAGAACGGTGTGTCTGAAGAAGTGGCTCGAGAATGCATCGAGAACATGGTGCGTGAATATTGGAAGAAGATGAACAAGCATTATTTCGAAGACCGCCCATTCCCCGGGCTCCAGCCCTTTCGAAATGCATGTCTCAATCTGGTTCGATCGTCTCACTGCTTTTATCAATATGGAGATGGCATGGGCAAGCCAAACCTTGAGTCCAAGGATCACGTAAACCATTATGTCATGTCAGTGCTGATCGAACCTATTCCAATTGACGAATGTAAGCGCTAACTTAAAAATTTCTTTTTTGTATCATCGTTTGAATGTCAATGTACCTTGATTCAAGGGTCGACTTTCTAGTGTCTCGGGACTTTTACGTGTATTCAGGTTCATGGAGGATCATGTCTATTACTGTATCTTTAAAGAAGATAATATGTGCTGAAGCAATAATTGTGCTAGCTGGGGTAAGAAGCCTTATTAATTATTGGACTTTTCTTTTTGCGGAAAACTGTTCGACATCTAGACTCGGTTTGTTTCGTGGAAAATATAACAGTTCTAAAAAATGTTTATCAGAAAGTCATTTTTCAGGAAAATGACAATATTTTCTGGTGTTTGGCTGAAACCTGAAAATGAATTAGAAAATATTTTTTGCCATTTGGTATTCGATTTTATTTTCTTTGAGAAAAATTACCAAAAAATTCAAAATTTTAATTTTTTTTCCTTTTCTTTCTTTTTCTTTCTTCCTCGGCTGGTTGCTGGTGATCGGCCACAGGTGAGAAACAAGCTTGCCCTAGCCCTGCAAGACTCCACCTTGCCTAATCCAATGAGGTGGAGCTCGAGCCTCGCCCAACTCGCCGATCTAGTGTGGCTCAAGCTCGCCGGCCTCGTGTGAGCTCGACCTCGCCAAGTATGGTGAGGTGGAGTCTCACCCGAGGCCTGAGAGACTCAACCTCACCGCAATTTGGTGAGGTTGAGCTTCGTCGGCCTAGGGCGAGCTTGTTCTTCGACTGTGGTTGGTCGCCGGCAACCACCAAGGAAGAAAGAAAAGAAACGAAAATTCGATTTTTTAAAAATATTTTTATTAAAATTGAATGGAGTTTAGTCTCGAACAAAGTTTGCTGGCGAGTAGGGAACGGCGCGTCCATAAACCTTTAGGATCCCCACTGAGGTGCGCAGGCTGCGGAGAGTCTTAAATCTATTCAGTTACTGAAGACAAGGAGGGCAGATAAACAGGTATGGAGGCAAAACTCCTCACACTGCCAATTATGGTTTTAATCAGCCATTCATGGAAAATCAAACGTTTCGTTAACTAAGGACCCAAGCTCGATTGTTGAGAACCTGAGCACAGCCTTCATGGACTCGTGCCTGAGTGTCGCGGATCTGAGCACGGCCTTTATGCACCCGGGCTTAGGTGCCGGGTCATTGGGCAAGAGCACCAGGGTTTTGGGCTTGGCCTAGATGGAATCAAGGCCCGGGGGCTGGAGACTTGGTCCCAAATGCCAGGAACCCAGGAACTAGCGTCAGGGTTCTCGTGTTTAAGCATAAAGTTTCAAGTCTAAGTCTCAATACCTAGTCATATTTTGAAAAAATGTTTTCCGACTTTTTCAAAGAGGAAATCATTTTTTTGAATTTATGTATTGGTTTTCCATTGACAAGGAAAACATTTTCCATTATCTCATTTTTCTAAGCGAACCAAATAATGCCGGAAAATGAAGAAAATATTTTCCTTGAAACAAACGAAACCTTAAAGATTTTTGACACTAATGGTGTGTATTATTCGAACATCTTGGATACCACCTTTGTAGGAAGAAATTTACAAGTCTTGACTAGGGCTATCAAACGGGTGAGTTGAGTTGGGTTTGGATCATGTTGAAGATGATCAAACTCAAATTGATCCATCTAATTTGTTTTAACTCATTTATATGCAATACAAATTTGGTGACCCATACCCGTCCTACACTCTAATTCTTAGCAATTTTTCCTTATATGTGAAAAATAGCATACTGAAAAAAACTACTCAATTAAAAACAAACCAAAATGTTGGTATTTTGAAGCCCAAGCATGGCCTTCTTGTTTGTGGGCAAAAATGGGTGGAAAATGGGTTCCTCATAAACCCATTAAGAGCCACTGCATTTTTTTTTTGTGAGTTTTTAAGACTATTTTCACTTGGCATTTTAATGTTTAAACAGCCCATTTATGACCCAAAACCTGAAAAAACGAGTCGAATAATGGGTCCATGACCCATTTTGACACCTTTTTGACCAGTGGAAATATTCAATTAGAATTTGAGTAGTCCATTTCAAATTCATATATAATGCCTCAAAAGACTAATCAATCCATTTAGACGCTCAAGCTGCTAATCAAGTTACAACTAATTAAATATAAAAGTATCCCCCCGTGTGCAGACAATGTCATTTCAGCCTATACTTGAAGTAAAAAACTTAATTGGAATGAGAAAGTGAAATATCTCTATCACTTCCATTCAAACCATTTGCTGCATACCAAACTCATGGCAATCAACGCACGGTTCGCGTGAGTTACATCTTCAGGTTGCCAAGAGAATCCTTTTTTGCGAAAGGAAGCCGGGCTGGTGGGCTTTGTGCTCATTTACTGATTGGTTTACATAATTAATCACAGTAATTATGCGATTTCTTCTCTTACCGGGAAACATGTGGGGTATGCTCCAAAAAGTTCCATCTGCTGTAGACATTGACCTGGATAGCGGGACTCCAGCAATAGAAGTCCTTGATATGCCAACTTGGGAACCATGGAAAGGGACATCTGCAGAGGTGGTCAATATAGTAAGTAAAATGGCTATTTATTCCATGCACGAGTATCGTGTAACCATCACCCCTTGTGTTTTTCGTGCACGACATGTGATAAATTATGTCTCATTATTTAGCCGTGAACAAAATACAGGGCTAATTAAAAAAATAAACACAAACTTTAAGTCGAGTAACAATTTTGACCCTAACTTTTTTTTATCTCGTAAAAAAACACCAATTTTAAGTCGAGTGACAATTCTGACCTCAACTTTTTTTTGTCTTATAAAAAATTACCAACTTTCACCCTTGTTTGAGAAAAAAGGTTATGATGGTGAGCTTAGCAGATCTTGTCCATGGCGATGGTCTATAGCTTTAGATTATGACAAAACGATGAAGTTTGCCAGAGAGATTTAATATGGAGATATTTTTTACTTACCGGTGAAGTAAAGGAGACGAACAATTTCATTATTATTCTTCAAGTTGCGGCTCAGAGAATAAGACAATATCCAATTAGCAAGCCACATTAATTTATTGCTGAGATGGAATACTCAAGTTGGATAATCAACAGTTCTAAGTCAATGGGAGCCATATTTGAGATTTAAGTAAAAGTTGATGCTTTTTTATAAAACAAAAAAAAGTTGAGGCCAGAATTATCACTCGATCTAAAGTTGGTACTTTTTTAGGAGACAAAAAAAATTGAAACCAGAATTGTTACTCGACTTAAAGTTGATGCTTTTTTTTTTTCAATTAGCATTCAAATTTGATGTTGCTTCTTACGGATATAAATCCAAGAGGATTCTGCACGAGATATGCTCCGGTTAAATCTTTTATCCAAGTGGGCTATTTGACTAGGAAGTGGACGTGGGCATCTTGTAGCCGCACAAAAGAAAACAAGTGGGGCCAGGGAGTAATTAGGGGAAAGAAAACAGAAGGGAAAATATAGGGTTTCTAAATTGGTTCAATCTTCCGACCAAAAAAAAAAAATGGTTCAATTAAGTATTACATCTTTATAAAAAAATACAATAAAATCCTAAACCTTTCAAATAATGCAATTAAATTTTAAAATTGTGTTGAAAAGTGAAATATAAGAATGCTGCAGAAGCACTTTTTTTTATGATATGTATGTAATTTTAGGTAGAACTTGATTACACTTTCTGAAAAAAAGAAAAATTTATGACTTGTATGAACAAATCGAAAGGTTTATATATAGGGTTTATGATTTGTGGTGCAATGTTGGGTTCGATAATTTTTGACCCGACCCACCCGGTCCTCCCGTTCTCATCAAGTAGTCGCCAGTGGGGTTTGTTGAATAGTGGCCGCATGGTAGCTCTTCTTTAAAGCGCACAGTTAAGGTTTCTTAGAGTTCCTTCTACTAGAGCACGAGCACAGTAACTCTTAGTGGACGAGCCGCTCATAAAAGGCACAGCTTGAAGAAGACAACTTCGAAGCTTTTTCGGACGCACGAAGATTGTTGTGAATTTTATATCCAATTAAATGGTTTATTTGTAAACACTTTAGGTTTATATAATTTAGGTGTGCGAAATACTCGAACATGTGAGAAATCGTAACTTTGATTCTTTTAATATAGTAGATTATTTGCTGTTGGCTTTCCCTGTGAATGTAGGTACCGACACTCGGATCGAACCATATAAATCTTTTGTGTCATTTATTGCTCATCGTCTATTTCTTTGGTATTTTTGCATTGACTTAGTTACAAGATTCTGGTTAGCTTCCACGTTAATATTGCAAAAATATGAGACACAAAGATGCTGGACAAGCCTTGAAAAGAGCATTCAGATTATAACTATTTGGAGATGGATCATACTTATGAATCTCTTCATAAAGCCTTCCAATGTTGAAATTTACTTGTCATAAACCCTCCCACTTAAAGCGCTGACGTCCTCATTACTATTGGCCAATATAGTTCATCAATGCCCTCTATTTGCGATGCATGGTTAGGGGTAGGCAAGGAAATCATACCCGTATCTGCCCGTTGGAGAGAAGCCCTGCCTTGCCCCCGTCCCAAGCCCCAAGCGAGGCCGGGTGGGTATCGCCTCACGAAGCAATGGTGCACCGCGGAAGCATCACCCTAGATGAGAAGTATTTTTTTCTTTTTAAAGAGAACTCAGTACCATTTCCAAAAACTTTAGAACTTTCCTGCGAGAAAGAGTGGTCTCATTTCATGGGTGGGTTTACAAAAAGAATGGCCTCATGAATGGGTTTTATATAGTCAAGCAAGCTCCATCTTCACAAATTAGATGATTTGGGACAAAATGAAGATGAGACTCATGGAAGTCACATTACTTAGAGAACTTTTGAAACTCGCATCTCATATAAGTCGAGTCTTGTACTTGACTTGAATATAATTTCCCAAAAGCCTTGTCCCACATTGGTCGATGAATGAAACTTATGAGCTAGCCAAATTTTTCCAACATAAAATTTTTAATCCCCATTTGTTGAGGCAAGCAAGCAATTTTAGAGTAAATTTTCAACTGTTAAACATGAAGATAAACTAAGAATACATTGCATAAATATATAAAGCATGTTACTTTTAGTTAAAATATGTAAGAAAAAAAATATATATATATATTATGAATACCTACGGGAGAAATCTTCTGATTTACGCCAAAACAAATTCCATGCCCCACGAAGAAAACCACAGCCATCGCCACCTCCTCTAATGAAGTTGCGACTGGCCTACCACCATTGCCTAAAGAGAGGGAACAGTATCAAAAAAGTTCTAAACCTATTATATTGATACTAAGTCAATCGTACATTTTTCAATTGAACCAATTTAGTCGTAAATCTTTTCATATTGATACAAGTTCAGTCTATCCGGCCAATTTAGGCTGGAAATTGCTGATGTGGACGTCGGCCGTTCTACATGGCACGGCCAACACTGATGTGGATAATTTTTTATAATTTTTTTCCTTTTTTTTTCCTTCATTCTCTGTGGCCGGTCGCCAGTCACAGGCGAGGGCGTCGCAGCCCTTGCGGCTTGGGCGAGGGCGGCCCTCGCCGAATCTGGCGAGGGTTGGACCCTTGCAGCCTGGGCGAGAGTCGCCCTCGCCAGATCCGGCGAGAGTGGCCCTCCTCCCGGCTGTGAGCCGCAAGGGTGATCGTCGCCCAGGCCGCGAGGGTCCAACCCTCACCAGATCACGTGAGGGCTGCGATGGCCTTGCCAACCCTGGCCTGTGGCCAATCGCCCATTATGGCTGGGTACTGGCCGCAAGCCAAGCAAGGAGAAGGAAGGAAAAAAAGAAGGAAAACAAACATTAAAAATTATTAAAAATTCAAAAAATTATAAAAAAATTTCACATTAGTGTCGGTTAAGCCACATAGAACGACTAGCGTCCATATCAACGATTTCCATTCTAAATTGGCCGGATGGACTAAATTGGTACCCATATGAAAAGATTTGGGACTGAATTGGTTTAATTGAAAGATTTTGGACTGAATTTGTACCAATGCAATAAATTTAAGACTCTTTTGATACTTTTCCCCTTGAAGAGGAGAAGGAGAGAAAGAGGCCACGATGATGGAGTGTTTGTGCTGTAGGAGGAACCATGTTAGGTTGGTGACGGTAGCAATGGACACGGTTGAACAGATCGATCCAGTTTGCGTTTGAAAACATTAGAAATTTTTGTTATATATTAATGGACGAATTAGTTCTTTTGAAACAACCAAAAGCCAAATAAAAATTGGTAAGTTACTCCAATGATATTATTTGCAAGGGCAAAAGCCACCAAAAATCCCAATCTATGTCCACCGTAGCACATTTATCCTTAACTCTATTTTGTGGCACAAAAAATTCCAAACTTATACCCGTGTAACACATTTACTAGGAAAAACACCTAAAAAGTCCAAAACCTATTGCATTAGTGCCAATTTAGTCATAAGCTTTTCAATTGGACTAATTTAGTCCTAAACCTTTTCGCATTAGTACCAATTCAGTTCATCCGGTCAATTTAAGCCGGAAATCGCTAACGTGGATGCCAGTGGTCTTACGTGGCACGCCGACGCTGACATGGACAAATTTTATAATTTTTAAATAATTTTTTCATATATTTTTAATGTTTTTTTTCTTTTTTTTTTCTTTTTATTTCATACTCATTTAGTAAGAAACTTACTCAAAAACCTGAATAATAAGTTCCCAATGATCGATTAAAAAAAAAAAGATAGCATGGGCTCACTCACCCACTACTACAACACAGCACACATCAGCCAAAGCTTGGTCAGGTATTTATGTTTTATTTGATGAGAAACGATTTGAAAAATAAACACAAGAAAGGTAGGAAAACACAAACTTAGTTATTTCTAGACTTAGGCGTGAATCACGCTGTTCACGATGGAGAGGTACATATGCTTTGGATTGGACCCATATAGGAAGTAACAATGATTTTCTAATATCTAATCAGGCTATCCATACATATCACCCTTTTAAACAGCATAAGAAAAGCATGCCATCATTTTTACCAGACAGAGATAACGTGTAATCATTATTTCTTTCCTAATCTCTTTTTTCTCAAGCAGAAAACACGCTAATACATAACATTTATTACTGTTCATCACTCTATAAAAGTCCATCTCATTCTCACTTAGAGGCATGCCATTCTTTTCTCCATTTAGAGAAGTTCTTTCCCTCTTCTTCTCATCCTAAAACCATCCCCTTCTACCTTTCTATCCCAATTACTTTGTAAGTTTTCTCAGTCACTTTCTTCATTACGTGTAAGGTAAGGGTTGGTTAATCACTTAGTAGTCTTCAGACCACACCTCCCCTGAGTGCGGATTACCGCCCTTGGGGATGATTTTCATCTTACTATAACTTTCAATTGCGTTGTAACTTTCTTATCATTTCAATATCAATACGTACCACCGACATGTTTGGTTTTATCATTCTACTTATCATTTTATTTATCGCTTTCCCATTTTATATCATCTTTATGCTTGTGATTTTATTTAGCTTTATTTGTACCATTTATGTTTTCATTTACTTTATAGAATACGTAGCATTTATTTTAGAACTTAATAATTACCTTCCAATACTAGAAACTGACATCCTTATTTATTTTCTATAAAATAATCACAAACAAAGACGTATAGACTAATCAATCAATAAGGTATTTTAGTTTTATTTCTTTTCTTTATATAGATTCCTAGATTCTCCTGCGCTTTGTGATGTTTATGTAAACTCATGAATTGTGAGTGCTATACCAAAACACAGGAAGCATGGCTATTGAAGCTCTTAGCATAAGCTGCCTCCCTTCTTCAATCCACCGCGGACGACGTTCCTCTGTCCCACTCTTCAAACACCCTCAACGCTCCTCCGCCTCCTCCTTTGCTGCCGTCGCAATCACTGAGGGAAATTTGCACATAAGCTGTATGAATTTGAATACTAAAGAACAGTTATTGGTCGATAGGCGTTCGGCAAATTACATGCCAAGTGTTTGGGATTACAACTTTGTGAAGTCACTCAGTACTAATTACGCAGTTAGTTTTAATTTGCTTTCTCTTGCTTATTATTAATGCCTTGTTAAGCTTTGAATCCCTCAAATTTCTAAGAAGGCTAAAATATGTTTAATCATTATGAGCTTATAAATGTGAAATCAAATTGTAGGAGGAGAGACATATGGAGCGGGTCCAGAGGATGAAGGAAGAGGTGAAGTGCACATTGGAGAAAGAGAATAATTTGTTGGCGAAGCTTGAGTTCATTGATGCAATTCAAAGGCTTGGTTTGCAATACCATTTCGACAATGAGATCAAGAAGGCACTCCAAGTCATCCAAAATGATTTAAATGATGCTCGGTTTCTAATGATCTTCACTCGACTGCCCTTCGATTTAGACTTCTCAGACAACATGGCTATGATGTATCTCAAGGTATAATGTTTATTATTTTCCATCTCACTTTGCCTTTTGGTTTTGCCCCACATTTACAACCAAAATTAGGGTCCGTTTTTATGAAGGAAAACTGTTTTTGGGAAGTTGGTTTTCGACTTTCCGGTATTTTGATGAAAGAAAACTTACCTATCTACGGAAAACGTTTTCTACGAATTGAAAACAACAAGTTTAAGTTGGAGGAAAATGACTTCCTCTTTTGGCAAGAAGAAAATCATTTTTCCTAAACCGCCAAACAAATGAAAACTAAATGTTTTCCTTGAAAATGATTTACAAGGAAAATATTATCCTTTATAGTGAAGTTTTTAGTGAAACAAATGCACCCTTAGTTTAATTGCGAAAGCTTTAATACGATAATTTCAGAGAATGATTAGGCTTTACAATATAATAAAATTTTCATCAACAAATATGATATTCTAAAAATCTGTACATTTTGAAAGAGACTATCCTGCAATATAAAAAGGTAGAATACGTACTTGCACCAAATCTTCATTGAGTCTCCTTTAATAAATATATAATTTGTCTTATATATAAATTTTCTATCGACTGACTAAATACCATTGGCTTGATAGATGTGTTTGAAAGCTTCATGGACAAGATGGGTGGTTTCAAGGTAACGCTGGTTGAGGATGTGAAGGGGCTGTTGAGTCTGTACGAAGCTTCTTTTCATGGATTGAAAGGCGAAAGTTTGTTGGATGAAGCAAAGGCTTTCACTTGCAAGCTTTTGAATCTTCTTAATCTAGAAGGAGGAATCATCTCCTCTTGCATGGGCAAAAAAATAAGCCATGCCTTGGAATTGCCTATCCATTGGAGACCTAGTAGATTGGAAGCTAGATGGTTCATGGACATCTACGAGGAAGATCCACACATGAATCGGACTTTGCTCGAGATGGCGAAGTTGGATTTCAATGTATTGCAATCAACCTACCAGAAGGAAGTGAGTGAACTGGCAAGGTATATACGTACATCAAAAGAAGATACGCGTAAAATTTTTGAATCAATCATTTCTTTACATGTTTATTCACATTTGCACCCTCCTAATAGACTAAAATGAGTTGGAAAAAATGTATAGAACATGATGCTTTTAGGTGAAAAAGAGCGATGCGATAATCTTGCACAAGTAGAGTAACATAGTCATGGCGATCGTGTACACAAGCGTGCTTTCACAAATAATAGCATGCTTAGCATGCGCAATACTTCACTCAAAGAAAACGGAAAACAAACGAAGCTCTTCATTCACGTTTATTATTATTTCTGCTCCTCCAAAGCTAGTCACCCATGTGCGCCCTGCGTCGAGCATCCCGTTACAATAAAAGTTAGTGATTCATAAATTAGAACTCAGATTAGATAAATGGCAATGAGTTATAATTCCTACGTTAAAAAGAAATTTGAGTTAAGTTTCTTGTAAATTTCATCTAATCAGATAGTGATTAATCAGGCGCCTAGCAACTCTCATTCTGGTCCACACATTCTTTTTTAGCTTTGTCCACTTTTATAAGAATGGCATGCTTTGACGTGTGATTGGTTGAACTACTTAAGTAAAACTAATGCGTGGACTCAGTGGACGCTCGATTGAACCAATGAGAGTGTACACACGGTTCATGTGAAGTCCTTATATTTTTCGTAGAGTCTTGTATTCCGTAGGTTCAGTCCATTTCCATAACAACTCATTATATATGAAGATGTGTGGCAATTGTTTCAGGTGGTGGCTTGAGCTAGGCGACAACAAGATGGGCTTTTCCAGAGAGATTGGTGGAACATTATATATGGTCCTCCATGATGGTTCATGAACCACAATACGGATTTTTCAGGGTTCTTTTAACCAAGATCACTTCCATGATAACGCTCATAGACGATGTTTATGACGTGTTTGGCACTTTGGAAGAACTCGAACTCTTGATCGACATTGTTGAAAGGTTTGTTTATTGACCGTGCATACAAATGTAAAACATATTTCATAAGCACCCGGAAATGAAATGAAATGACTAGAAGTGTATCCGTTTATAATGCTTGAGATTTTGGTCATTTCCAGATGGGATATTACCAACATCGACAAACTTCCTCCGACAATAAGGACTTCTTTCCTAGCTCTGTTCAATACTACCAACAACGTCGGATTGGAGATACTGAAAGAACAAGGCCTTAACCCCATACCTTACATTCGGAAAATGGTAACATTTTCTGTCATTGTACTTGAACTCATACTTGTATTCCTATTTGTATTCTTACTAGGTTTTAGTTAATAGCAATTATGCGTTTCCCCACAAGATACTTTTCTGATGAAATTAATGGTAAGGATTTCTTGGGTTTTGTGGAATCACCGCGTGCAAAAGTCATTCTTCATATTCATAGACCTGAAGTGGTTTACTGATCTTTTTCTTTCTCGGTCATTAGTGGGCGAATGAATGTAGGGCACACCTTAAAGAGGCCAAGTGGTACCACGAGGGCTATAACCCAACATTGGAGGAATATCTCCCAACTTCAGTAACTTCAAATGGAGGGCCCATGATGTTGTTCTGTTGTTTCCTCATGACTACGCACAAATTAACACATGAGGCCCTGGATTATGTATCGAAAACCCCAAGTATCATGTACATTTCTGGCTTAATTCTTCGACTCAATGGTGACCTGGGTACATCGCCGGTATGCATATATATTCTCACTCACATACATAGCGAGGTTCCTTCCTAGTGTGGATCGAACTTCCTAATACACGCTTTGCCGGGTAAGTACGTAAGATATATATGACTGACAGTCGTCCCCTTGGTCAGGATGAAATGGTCAGAGGAGATAATCCTAACGCAGTCGAGTGCTACGTGAATGAAAGTGGAGCTTCACAGGAAACTGCGGTGGAACACGTTAAACATATTGTTTGGGAAAACTGGAAGACGATGAACGAACAGGCATTTGGCGATTGTCCATTCCCAGGGATGGAAGCCTTTATTGGGGCATGTTTGAATCTCCCGCGTGCCTCTCACAGCTTTTACAAGTATGGAGATGGCCATGGCATTCCGGACCGCGAGACCAAGGAGAACATCATGTCCTTTCTGATACAACCCGCCCAAATGAATTAATGGCGAAGCTTCAAATCGCCTTGTTCTGGTTTCATTCTGTGATGTGATTTTCCCGAGTCTTAATTTACGTGTCTTCCTTTCATATTCTGCATGCGTTTTTAGCTTGGTTTGTACTTATGATGTTCATGCTGGACTACATTTTAAGCTTTAGTTAAGTAAAACCAGCGCTAAATGTAAGAATTCCTCAACGAATAATACTGGACTACATTTTGAGCTTTAGTTAAGTAAAATATCGATATCACATAATAGTACATTCACATTCTATATTGCAATTGGGAATTTAAATAGTTACACTATGAACATTTCAATCAAATGGGCAAAGCGTGGTTTGATCTTAAACTTGAGCTTCAAACCCATTTGAGGATCCAAGTCCAGGCCTGCGCAAGCACGTCCCTCTTGGTGAACTCGCCATGCCTCCTTTCAGATTGCCCAAGTTAGAGAAGAAATATAGTCAGGTGACCGCAGGGGAAAAGGATAACTTTCGTTGATGCTTTTCGGTTTTTTGCCTGGTACAGAAAGGGGCTATGTTAAGCAGTGAAAAATCACCGTTTAGCCATTTTGAGAAGTGGATTCTCCAAGAAGGCAACAAAACGAAAATCCTGGATGGAAATTAAAAGGGTGAAACGAACCCGATGCTTACAAAACTCGTGATTTGTGTTCAAAAGGAAAGAGCAAGAAGATTCTGAACACCACAGTCAGAAAGAGAGGATACAATGCAAGCAAAACAAAAACGTGGCGAGGATCCTATTTGGAGGCTTTGGATTCTGGGCGTAAGGAACGAATTACAAAGAGTATACGGGCTCGATTTTCGATTCCTATATAAAATTCTCACGAGAGGGGATCGCTCGAGGAGGACCGAAGATCCATCAACGCTTCTTCCTTCATCGCACAACACTAATTTCGCTGTGAGGATCGCGTCCCACCGTTTCACGTCAACTCAACCATTCACTCACCTACCCTTGACGATCTTGACTTCCCTCATTGTCCGCAACCTCCATCGATCCGCGAAAATCAACCGAGCTATCGTCTCGGCAACCAAGAATCGAGCTACACTAACGTCCACTGATTCCCGTGTCTAGGCGTCCTCCACCGCGATCAGTACGCATAGAGAGCCCAGTGGAAAATTTGACTACCATGTGAGATATACGAAGTCACCCAGCATGGGGACAAATCTCAGGGATGTTATGCCCATAGGATGGGGTGCAGAATTCGATAATGGCCATAACCTTCTGCCTCAGTCTTAACCGGGGCACCCTTACAATAAAATTCAGTAATTCGTACATTAGAACTAATGAATTATAATTCCTAAGTTAAAGAGAAATATGAGTTAAGTTTCTTGTAAATTTCATCTAATCAGATAATGATTGATCAGATGCCTAGTAACTCTCGGGGCACCCTTACAATAAAATTCAGTAATTCGTACATTGGAACTAATGAATTATAATTCCTAAGTTAAAAAGAAATTTGAGTTAAGTTTCTTGTAAATTTCATCTAATCAGATAGTGATTGATCAGATGCCTAGTAACTCTCATTCTGGTCCACACGTTCTTTTTTAGCTTTGTCCACTTTTATGAGAATGTTGAGCTTTGACGTGTGATTGGTTAAACTACTTAAGTAAACTAATGTGTGGATTTAGTGGACGCTCGACTGAACCAATGAGAGTGTACACACGGTTCATGTGAAGTCCTTATATCTTTTGTAGAGTCTTGTATTCTATAGGTTCAGTCCATTTCCAGAACAACTCAGTATATATGAAGATGCGTGGCAAATGTTTCAGGTGGTGGCTTGAGCTAGGCGTCAACAAGATGGGCTTTTCCAGAGATAGACTGGTGGAACATTATTTATGGTCCCGCAGTATGGTTCACGAGCCAGAATATGGATTTTGCAGGGTCATGATAACCAAGATTACTTGCATAATAACGCTCATAGACGATGTTTATGCCGTGTTTGGCACTTTGGAAGAACTTAAACTGCTGACAGACTTCGTTGAAAGGTTTGTTTAATGACCATGCATATAAATGTAAATCATATTATCTCATCGCACCCAGAAATGAAATGACTAGAAGTGTCTCTGTTTATAATGCTCGAGATGTTGGACATTTCCAGATGGGATATTACCGACAATGAAAAACTTCCTCAGACAATAAGGATTTCTTTCCTAGCTCTGTTCAATACTACCAACAACGTCGGATTGGAGATACTGAAAGAGCAAGGCTTTAACCCCATACCTTACATTCGGAAAATGGTAACATTTTCTGTTACTGTACTTGAACTCATACTTGTATTCCTATTTGTATTCTTACTGGGTTTTAGTTAATAATATGTGTTTCCCCACAAGATACTTTTGTGATGAAATTAATGATGAGGATTTCTTGGGTCTTCACTTGTGGAATCACCGTGTGCAAAAGTCATTCTTCATATTCATAGACCTGAAGTGGTTTACTGATCTTTTTCTTTCTCGGTCATTAGTAGGCGAATGAATGTAGGGCACACCTAAAGAGGCCAAGTGGTGCCACGAGGGCTATAACCCAACATTGGAGGAGATTACTCATGCATGCTTCGACGGTTGTTCCGTGTTCATTTATAAAAGCATGCTAGGATGAATGAAAAAAGGAAAACTTGATTGATCCATAACTTGTTTGAGCCTTTGGTTTAAGAACAAGAAGTTTTTCTTGCTTTGCTCTTATCCCTTAGGTTGATTCCTACGAGTAGCGAGTAACTTATCCATTTAAGTTCTAACTTGTGTTATCTCCTATTTCTCCACACTCTCTTCGACATTAAATTGGTATCAGAGCAAGGTTTAATGGCTGGTCGTTGTCAACATGGATCAAACGTTGAGTCTTCTACAGCTCGAGAAAAAGACCTACGAAACGTGAAGGTAGATGATTTAAGGAGACAAATGCAGCAACTGCCAAAGCGTTTGCAACGCTTCAAACTTCTGGAACGTGATGATTTGTGTCATGATTTAGAAGATTCTCTCTCTAATAAAGAGGATGGTAATCCCTTCATTGGTACTTGAAGTCATGCTTCAAGTGAGGAAGGACTTCCTTAACATAAGTATCGAAGGTTTCGCGAAATTCAGCAAGATTTTAATGTGAATATCGAAATTCCTGAATTCGAAGGAAAATGCAACCGGAAGAATTTATGGATTGGTTGCACACTGTAGAAAGAGTCTTTTGACTACAAAAAAATACCAAATGATCAAAAGGTAAAGCTAGTCGCCATCAAGATCAACAAACATGCGTCTATCTAGTGGGAGCATTTGAAGAAGCAAAGAACTTGTGAAGGAAGAAGACGTATCGTAACTTGGGAGAAGATGAAAAAAGAATTGAAGAAGTTCTTATCGACAAACTACTGTCAAGATACATTTCTCCGGTTTCATAATCTCATGAAACAAAAGGCGCTGTCCGTGGAAGATTATACGGCGGAATTTGATCGCAAGTAGACTAAAATGAGTTGGAAAAATGTATAGACGTGATGCTTTTAGGTGAAAAATGGCGATCAGATTGTCTTGCACAAGTAAAGTAACATGGTTATGGTGATCGTACACACAAGCAGGCTTTCACAAATATGGCAATGGCTATTGAATTCTAATAATAATAAAAAAAGATCTTTGCATGTTTATTGTGCAAGTTAACTTGCACTGCTAATTACTAGCGGAATCCAGCTGTTATTAAGATTGTTAGTTGGAAAATGGGCGTAGGCTTGAGTATAAAACCGAACTACTATATATTGCCGTGTAATCTTCGCATTACACTCTATTTACTTACTAGCATCACACACATTGACCTATATTTGTCACTATTTTGAGTACTGATAGTTTGATAGTCAGCGAAAGTTATTTGTATCACAACACACAACCTATTCAACCTCCCTTCTAGGTTGTACTGTTAGCCCCAACAAGAAGGAAAGTAGTGTATAATGTGTATCAGACATCTTTCTTCCTAGTCCTTTTAAAATAAATTAATAAACCATTTACAGGAGAAAAGGAGAAATAGTCGTGAGTTGTGATTGTGCTTTGATCCGGTTTCCTGAGTAGAACCGTGAACCAAACCGGTCTAGTTTCTGGTTCCAAATTTTGGATTTTGGAATTTGGAACCGGGAAACACAGTGTCGGTTCCAAGTTCCACCACGGAGGGAACGGACCCATCCTAGACTCAATGACTCTAGGCTCACCGGCTCGAGCGGTTGAACCATGTCAAGATCAGGTTTGACCATTTCTAGGGCAATCTAGGTGGATGAGAAAAATCTAATTGGACCACGATCCGATTTTTGAACAAACTAGTTGGAGCGGTCGGACCGATCTGAATTTTAAAACATTGCATATCGTAGTTGAGCACATACAGCCTGGCCCAGCAGTCAGTTATGTTTTCATTTGATGAAATAGATTTGAAAAGCAAAAGGATATCGTAGGAAAAGCCAACTTTGTTGTTTCTGGAAGTAGCCGTGAATCTCTGGACGGCATAAAAATGGCATCTTTTACCAAGTTGTACACGATGGAAAGGGACAGATTAACAATAACTTTTAATATCTCATCAGCCTATCAATATGTGATCCCACCCTCTTACAGCAAGGAGAGATACGTCATCATTTTCACCAAACACAAAATTTCTCAAGAAGGAAACGCGATGTGCGTATAAACTCACGATCCATGAATTGCTAATGCTATACCAAAACACAGGAAGCATGGCTATTCAAGCTCCTAGCACAAGCTGCCTCCCTATTTTGATCCACGGCGGACAACAACCCTCTGTCCCACTCTTCAAACACACTCGCCCCTCCTCCTCTACCTCCTCTGCGGCCATCACCATAACCGATGGAATTCGGCGCATCAGCTGCATGAATTTGAACACTAAAGAACAATTTGTGGTTGCTAGGCGTTTGGCAAACTACATGCCGAGTGCTTGGGATTACAACTTTGTGAAGTCACTCAGTGCTGATTATGCGGTTTGGTTTAATAGGCTTTCTCTTGCTTATTATCAATACCTTGTTAAGCCTTTAATTACTCAAATTTCTCAGAAGGCCAAAATATGTTTAATTTTGATGAGCTCGTATGTGTGAAAGTAAATTGTGTTGGGATTTTAGTATCCAAAATCCATAAATTGTGAATGAGAAGTGTGGATGGAAATAGTCTCACATTGGATAGAAGTTGTGATGGGAGATGGTTTATTTAGATGAGCCTCTCAAATGGATTTGGGTCCTAAGGAGTACCCCACTTTTGTGGAAGGGAGAACACCTACGCCAAGCTAGGTCGGTCCCCCCGCGCGCGCCGCCGCCGCCGTTCCGGCCGATGCGGACCGAGCCCGGGTCCATTCCATCGGTTTTTTATTTTTTCCCGAACAGACACGTTTTGTTAGAAATTATTTATTTATTTATTTTGGACAAACAAACATATCTATTCGCGAGGTTCGGTTCACCCGAACGAAAACCGCTTCGGTTCAAGCGAGCCTTCATTGCTCGCGACTGTTCACGAACAGAACGAAAACCACTTCGGTTCAAGCGAGTCTTCATTGCTTGCGACTCTTCATTTTCGCTATATATAACCAAATTGTTCTGTTCGGTCAAGTGACTCTTCGTGGCATTTTTATTCCTGCGAGACTTTTGTTTTTTCCCGACACACTCTACACAGTTTCATTTTTTCCGCACGGCATTCTGCTGCATTTTCTTCATCATTGTCATTTGTGCGATTATTCTACGAAGTTGCATTCGAACATTTCCTTTGAAGAAGTAGTGCTTCTTTGGAAAGGCGATCCGCTCTATCCTGGGAAACAATTGTTTAACAACCTTGGGTACCGGTAGAGGGAACAAATTGTCTTAAGGACACAACGTGAATTCGTTGGGCTCGGATCATTCGTCAACATTTAGATTACTCATCAGAACGTGACTTCAGGTTTGTCAAATAACTCTGTTTTGCACATACAAGCACTATTACGTGACAACAATAGACAATTTTTATCGTGTTTGTTTAATTGCATTTCTCAATCATTTCTGTCTTTGTGTCAAAAATGGCTACAACATCAATGACGCCTATTGCGTCTGTTCCGACTCATGGAGAGAAGCCAGAAAAGTTCAATGGGCTGACTTCAAGAAATGGCAACAGAAGATGTTGTTCTATCTCACCACTTTGAACTTGGCAAGGTTCCTCATGGAGGATGCTCCGAAGTTGGATGAAGGAGAGACAAACAAGGAAAAGGTTGCTGCCGTAGATGCATGGAAGCATTTTGACTTCCTGTGTCGCAACTATATCCTCAATGGTCTGGACAATTCCTTCTACAACGTTTATAGTCTGCTGAAAACGGCTAAGGAGTTGTGGGAAAGTTTGGACAAGAAATACAAAATGGAAGATGCTAGGTTAAAGAAATTCATCATTGGTAAATTTCTGGACTTCAAGATGGTAGATTCTAAAATCGTCTTAAGTCAAGTTCAAGAACTTCAAGTGATCATGCATGACATTCATGTTGAAAGTATGATGATTAGTGAATCATTTCAAGTGGCTGCTTTCATTGAAAAGTTACCACCGTCTTGGAAAGATTTCAAGAATTATCTCAAATACAAGAGAAAGGAATTATCACTTGAAGACCTAATTGTTCGATTGAGAATAGAGGAAGACAATAGGAATTCCGAGAAGAAAGTTTGCAGCAATCTGGCGGTCTCAAGGGCCAACGTTGTTGAAGAAGGATAAAAAACCAACAAGAAGAGAAAAAACTATGGACAGGGATCCATCCAAGGCCTGAAAAAATTCATTGGCAAATGTTACAATTGTGGAAAGGCTGGACATCGTACCAAAGACTGTAGAGCCAAGAAAAGAAAGATGACTCAGGCGAATGTGGTGGAACAGATTTCTAATGGTGTTGATGATATCAATCTTACTGCTATGATATTCGAGTGCAACATGGTAGGAAACTCCAAAGAATGGTCGATTGATACTGGAGCAACTCGTCATATATGCGTCAATAAATCTATGTTCTCATCATACACGCCTATGGAAGGTGATGAAAAACTCTACATGGGTAATTCATCAACCTCTAAGATTGAAGGTGTTGGAAAGGTAGCTTTGAAGATGACATCTAGGAAAGTTGTGACATTAAACAATGTGCTATATGTGCTAGACATACGCAAGAATTTAGTGTCCGGATCTCTTCTTAGCAAGAATGGTTTCAAGTTGGTGTTTGTATCTGATAAGTTTGTACTCTCCAAAAATGAGATATATGTAGGAAAGGGTTACCTTAGTGATAGTCTATTCAAGTTGAATGTAATAACTATTGTACCCAATGATGTTATGAATAAAGTTGTTTCTGCTTATGTGCTTGAGTCTCCTAATTTATGGCATGCTAAACTAGGACATGTTAATTATAAGTCAATAAAGAAATTAATGAACATGAAGTTATTGCCAAAATTCGACTGATCAAGTGAAAAATGCCAAGTGTGTGTTGAATCAAAATTCTCTAAGCCTCCTTTTCATTCTATAGATAATAGAATCACAGAACCTTTAGATTTAATACACACAGACATTTGTGATTTGAAAGCAATACCGTCAAGAGGTGGTAAAAAGTATTTTATAACGTTTATAGATGACTGCTCGAGATATTGTTATATTTATTTGCTTAGTAGCAAAGATGAGGCTGTGAATGCTTTTAGAACTTGTAAGTCCGAAGTTGAAACTCAGTTAAATAAGAAAATTAAGATGATAAGAAGTGACAGAGGAGGTGAAT